TAGAAAAAATCCACACAGAAAGGCATACAAATGCAGAAATATATTTGTGATTTTTTTTTTTACATTTATATAAATCGTAATTTATTTATGTGTGCATTGGAATGTATTTGTGAATCCTTCTGCGTGCATTTGCGATTATTGAGACTGATCTGACCCCATACTCGCACGTCACTCGCACCGTCACTCCCACGTCACTCGCCACCGTCACACACACCGTCACTCCCACGTCACTCGCCACCGTCACACACACGTCACTCGCCACCGTCACACACACCGTCACTCCCACGTCACTCGCCACCGTCACACTCCACCGTCACTCGCCACCGTCTCTCGCACGTCACTCGCCACCGTCACTCGCACCGTCACACACATCACTCGCCACTGTCACTCGCACGTCACTCGCCACCGTCACTCGCCCGTCACTCGCCACCGTCACACACGTCACTCGCCACCGTCACTCGCACGTCACTCGCCACCGTCACTCGCCTCCGTCACCCGCACCGTCACTCGCCTCCGTCACCCGCACCGTCACTCGCCTCCGTCACCCGCACCGTCACTCGCCTCCGTCACCCGCACCGTCACTCGCACTGTCACACACGTCACTCGCCACCGTCACTAGCACCGTCACTCCCACCGTCACTAACATGTCACTGGTGGGATCCGGTTTGGTGACTGACAGATCTGCCTCCATGATCTCGTTGAAGCTGGCGTTTCCCACGTTCTTCGCCAACTAAAACACAACATGTGAGGTTGGTCACTGCGGCTCCTTCCTGAAGTAAAACACATGCTTCCTGGTGGGTTCACTGCAGACCTAATTTAGTTTTTTAATTATTAAGATTTTTAAAAACTTTATTCTTGAAAGTTTTTTCTCGAAATATTTAGATCATGTTTGCTCCTAAAATTGTAAATAATATGTTGTTGACAGACACAAATGAAAACTCATCTAATCACTCCGCCCTGCCTCGACGCTCTGACTTCCGTTACTCCTCTGGGGACAGTGAAGTGGACTCACCAGCAGCTCGGAGGTCCCCAGCACGTCCAGGTCCAGGCTCTGGATCCTGGAGTAGTGGACCCCCATCTCCCTGTGGATCCCAGAGCACTCGATACAGATCAGCACCCCGAGGTTGGTGGACAGCCAGGTGGGACCTGACGGAGCAGAGGATGGAGGTTTTTAAAGGCCACGATGTTACGTTCACGTCTGTAGTCCAGACGGAGAAGGTGGGACCGGGTGGGACCGGGTGGGACCGGGTGTCTCGTGAGTAACAAAACCAACAAAGTGTTTACTTTACTGTTAAACAGTGAAACTCTGCAGAATCTTCATCCTCCAGAATCTCTTCTGACCAGAAGAACCAACAGCTGAAGAAGGTAAACGTTACTTTACCTCCACATAGAGTACTTAACGAGTTCTGGACTTAACGAGTTCTGGACTTAACGAGTTCTTAGTAGTATCAGTTAGTTAGTAGTTAGTATTAGCAGTAGTACTATAGTACTAGTACCAGCAGTACATACCGTGCGCCCCGCAGTCACAGCAGCCGTCGTTGCCGCTCATCCTCTTCACCTCTCCTACGATGGCTCTCGTCAGCTCCTGGACGATGTTGTTCTCTCCTTCGTCCTGGTCGCCTTTGAACGCTTTGTTCAGCGCCTCCTCTCTACTGTTCTGCAGCACCGACACCCAGCTGCACAAACAGCAACGCAGCGGGTCAGAGGTCAGAGATCAAACGGGGGGGGGGGGGGGCATTGTGCACTACTTACACCTGACACTCGGCTTCGTCCTCGGCCTGGAAGTGATAGGTCCGGTCGTCTGGAGGAGACAGAGAGTGAGACGGGAGGATCTGAACAGGACGCTACACATCTGAGAGGAGAGCAGCTTACGTGAGAACAGGTCGAAGCTCTTCTTCTCCTCCGGGTTCCTCTTCACCTGGCAGGTGAGCAGGTTGAGTTTGGCCGGCGGTGCGTTGGCCTGAGAGACAAGTTGGTACGACAAACTGAAAGTGTTCCAGGTCGAACATGACGAGCTAAACAACCACGAAGCAACACGACCTCAGCTGGGTTTGCTGATGATTTAGCTAATGCTAACACGCTAGGCTAAGACGCTAACGATGCGAGACGCTAACGTTAGCATTTAGCTCAAAGCACCACTGTGACTGTATCACACCATTTTACCGGTAATATATTCTGTCACCCACTGAGGAACTAGTTGTGATTGACAAGTTGTCGGCTCTGAAACATCAAAAGGGTTCATCCTCTGAGGACCAGGAATGGGCTCTGGAAATTTGTTTTTATTTTATTATATTTATCTCGTTAAGGGGGAAATTTGTCTCTGCATTTGACCCATCCCTGTATACAGTGAGCAGGCGCCCGGGGAGCCGTTAGAGGTTCAGTGTCTTCTCAGGGACACTTCGACACGGGACACGTCCCACCAAGGATAATACAGGTGTTTTTAACATAAAGTCCTCAATAAGAAGCACTTGTCGATTATTACTGATTATTTTAACCCAGAGCTTTGTGTTTGTGAGAGCTGAAGCAGAGATGAGAGATTGAAATAAATATCAATAAAACAGACCCCCCCCCCCACCCTTCTCTCTGTCATCCTCCTCCTTATGCTCTTCCTCCTCCTCCTGTTTCTCTTCCTCTGCTGCTTGCTCTGTCCTGATTGGCCGTTTGACTCTTCATGTAAAAACTTCAAAATAAAAGAAAGAAGGAACAAAAAAAAAATAACAATAAGAAGCTGAACGAAAAAACTAAAATGAATTCTTGTCTTTTCCCCATTTGAAATAAAAAAAAGTGAAACCCCAGAAGAAGAAGTGTTTTAATTGGTGGACATGCAAGCAGGAGGGCGGAGCTTGTCATGCAGGAGGACCAATAGGAGGAGAGGATGTGGCGTCTTACCGTGCCGTGGCAGATGGTCAGGAAACCGTTTTTCACCGAGCACTTCCTCTTCTGCCAAACCTTCCTCAGTCTGAGGACGACACGGCAATACTGATTAAACACATTCATCTCGTAGCATTAAACACATTCATCTCGTAGCATTAAACACATTCATCTCGTAGCATTAAACACATTCATCTCGTAGCATTAAACATATTCATCTCATTAAACATATGACACAATGAATTTCACGGTTTGCTGATTTTCTCTTTTTCATAAGATTATAAATTTAATTTCCTTCACTTTTTGGATTATTTATTAGAATAATTAAAGGAAAATAAATTGGAACAAAACGACATTTTATAAACTTTTTTTTCTTTTGTCTAAACCTCAAATTATCTGAAATAATGAATTAAAATCATTAAAATTATTTGTATTAAATCTGGAACCATCAAATGTAAAAATGACTTCAGTCATAGAAATAGTTTCACATTTATTTTCGAACCATAGATTAATTGATTAACGGACTAATTAATACCAATCTGCACTGTGTAGGTGTGAATGCCTTCCAGGAAGTTATTGTCCTGTTGCATTCTGGGACTTTGAGTTCACTCACCCCTCACTCCTCTTGTAGAGGACTCCGGAGCACTCGGTGCCGTGAGCCTTGTTGCCCTGCAGCTGGTGGAGGCTGTAGCCGGCGCTCTGCTTGGTCTGAGCGTCCTGCGGAGGAGCGGGAGACAAAACAACTTCAACCGCCATGTTTGTAGTCCAAAGCCCTGCTGGCATCCTGCAGAGGTCCTCGAAGGTGTTTAAAAGTACAAATATACACCGAGTCTCTCACCTCCTTCTGCTCCGACTGCAGAGACGCCTTCAGGACGTCTCGGAGCTGAGTCAGCTGTTTCCTCTCCCCGTCCTGAGTCTGCTTAATCTGAACACCACAGAAGAAGAGACGCAAACTAATGCTCATTACACACAAGATACTGTGACCGCTGTGGTGTTTCAGGTACCTGTTGTACTACACCTCAGAGGTACATGTTGTACTCTATACTGTACTACACCTCAGAGGTACATGTTGTACTTTATACTCTACTACACCTCAGAGGTACATGTTGTACTTTATACTCTACTACATCTCAGAGGTACATATTGTACTTTATACTGTACTACACCTCAGAGGTACACATTGTACTTTGAATGCAGTACTTGTATTTGTGGTATTAGTACTCTCCCTGCAGTACCAGTACTGCAGGGAGAGTACTTGGTCTCACCGTGGTCAGCTCCATCGTCAGCTTCTCCACAGACGGTCTGAGACTCTCCACAGCGTTCAGTCCGTCCTGGAAGAAACTGAAGAACAGAGACAAACATTTAGTGAGCAGACAGGAAGAGGAGGAGCTAAAGAGCTGTTCCTTCCACAGAACAAAGATTACATTATATATATATATTATCAGGATTATACTGATTACACATTATTTACATATCTGAGGACTTTACAAAGACGGTCAGTTTGTTTTTAGAAGCTTCAGAAACAGGAAGTCTTAAAGATCTACATTTGAGTAAATGTAGTGTATATACTTAGTATATACTTACATACATATATACATACATACATATATATACACATACATATATATATATACATATATATACATATACATACATATATATATATACATACATATATATATATACATACATATATATATATATACATACATATATACGTATATATATATATACATACGTATATATATATATACATACATATATATATA